CCGCTGTTCTCCAAATACACGTCCTGGAAGGGAGATTGTGTATCCGGAGAACAACAGAGAGATGCTGCCAAAACTCTATCATGGATCGGAGTAGATCATGGAAACTAACCGCATCTACACATCCTCGGTCTGTCAAAAAAACGTGGACAATTCGAAATAGATACGGTTATAGATATGCAAAGATCTGCATATTTCCAACCGTATCTCTTTCGAACGGGAGACGCCTAGATAGGTTACGTGATATATGAACATGATACGGAAAGAATGGTCTTTTATGCCTCACCTTGCTATCCTACAAAGTGACGAGTCGAGGACGTTGCAATAGCCTCTCCTACAATAAAAGGAACATAATAGTGTCAAATCTAAATTTCGGCAGCACCTCCCCTGCACGGGGAGGTTTTCAAAACCTGCAACAAATAAAACGGCACGATGGCCGACAACCACAACCACATCTTATACCTTGCAAAATGACGGCAAGTTGTGGGGCGGCGGGAGGGCAAGGTTGAACCAGGCGGTAGGGCAGGGCAAGGAGCGGCGGCAAAAACCTGCAAGTTGAAGATAATAGAGAGCCAAATGCATCGGGTCAGTAAGTGTATAGAGAGATCATTAAAAGAATGGCAATCATTGGCATGGAAATATGCTCAAGTTAATAGTACAACATCACTGTTTGTTGAAGTGATGTTGCTTGTATGTGTGTGTCTAGTTTTAACAATTTTGGCATATGGAGATTGCAAGAGCTAGTTAGCATGGTTCTTGTGCCTTATCTCCTAGGTAGCTTGACAGCTAATGGTTAATGGTGGCAGTATGTCAACCCTTATCCTCTAGATTATTACCGTTGGGTAACCACATAGGTTTTGGGATAACTACTACGACTCTCTAGCAATCAATCATATGCCAACAAATTATAAAATAATTACGCTTGCTAAGTCTCAGTTTCATCATGTCTCAACATCAAATATCTCATAATTATTGCCTAGTTACAATGGTGTATTTGGAGTGTATTTGCTGAGTCGCTAAAATAGTACCATCATGAAAGAAGAATCAACTTGCCGTACACAGCAACCAACGTTTTATCATGCCAATTAGAGTCACCCCTATGATTGGGAGAACAGTAGTACCTCTGCCTATGCTTTATCAGTGTTTAACATGAGTCGATAATGGTTACACTGCAAACTTGTAATACACCTTAAGTAATGAACTAAAATCAACCAATAGCACGGCATCATGGCAATTCATTCACTAGTGCTATTTACTGATCCTGAAATCCTACCCTCAAGGCAGCATTTGCTGAAACCAATTTTGGTACACCAGAAATAACAAATAAGCACAAAAGAAAGCATGCACGTCGCTGGGCTGCTTCTCTGTTCCTTGGTCGCCAGAGCAGAGGTGCACGGCAGCACCATGGCAATCTACGGTGCTGCTTGGGATCGATCTAGGGACTACGAGAGACGGAGATAGGAGGCGCAAAAGCGAGCGAAGCTCACCGAACTCAGGCAGGCTCTCCTCGGTGCTTGGTTCAGAGCGGAGGGGGAGGCAGCCGAGATGAGGCGGACGATGACGATGAAGTGTTCCGGCGGGCTCGCGATTTCTCGTAACAAGCCGTGATCTTTTGGAAATAAAGGCAGGGTGTGAATCTCTGGGGCGAGGAGAATCCAGTAGAGGCGAATATTGAGCAAGAGATGGACAAACCGCGGAGAACGATGACGGTGAACGGAGCTTGGCAATGGTGTCGTGGAGCTCTGCAGGGAGAAAAGAGGGATGTGCAGCGAGCAGAGAGGAGCGGCGGCGGGCTGGGCGGCGGTGGGGTCCCGAGGAGACCGGCGGGGGTCCAGGCCGGCGAGGGTTCAGGGCGGTGGCCGGGGCACAGGGCGACGGCGGCGGTGTGTGTGAGTTCGTGAGTGTGGGCGGGTGCGTGTGTGCGCGAGTGTCGTGTGCGTCAGGGGGTGGGTCATATGAAAGGTATGCCGAGTGCCCTCGATCTGGGCACTCGGCAAACTAAAGATACGCCGAGTGTCCAGATCGGGGGCACTCAGCATTGTGTTTTTTATTTTCAAACCGTTCGGTACTGCACAATGGGGCCGGATCAACAAAGTTGCCGAGTGTCCCCTGTATGACACTTGGCAACTATTCTTTTTGTCGAGTGTCAGGTAGAGAACACTCGACAATTTTTTTTATTTCATGCTACACTTCTTCATAGCGCGTTCTACTAAATTTGTTATGATGGACTTTGAAAGTACCTTGTCAAATTTACTTAACAATGCATATTTGATTTTTCTATGAATATTATTCCATTATTTTATGCAGTTATAGCTCAAATTCAATTTATATCAATTAAAATTCTATAATTGCAGTTAATAAATTAAAATTATCAAACGGATCCCAAAAATTCCCAAAATTTGACATGGACCAATCTATGTTGTCTATTGCCTACACAATAAGTTTTGAAGTCAAACCCCAATTCGACCATCACTTTGACTCCAAATCTTACCAGATCATTCTCAACTCCTTTATTCTTCTTCGGAGATACTTCGGTTTGTAAGCGTCGTACGTGATAAATTGTGCAAAACCTTCTCAATTTTTTTTCACAGTCTCCACGTATGATATCATGAGATCTTGACAAATCTCGTCATTTTCAGACTTCGTTTGCTTTTTTTAGAATTAAAAAACCATTCGGCCACACGTTCGTGGTCGTGTTTCCTGAACAAAATGTTCGAAATTTCTTTTCATTTCCCGGGTATGGCCCCAAAATAGACTCAATAACATGAATATGATTTCTCCACTCAATTGATTCCATTATTTGAATCACTCAATTTATTCCAAAGGAAGGGGACAGGGCTGGCAGGTGGGCTCCACCTGTCGGTGACAGGGAGAGAGGGAGAGGCGGGGCCCGCCTGGCGGTGGGAGAACAGAGGGAGTCGGCATGGTGCGAGCGGTGGGCCGGCCTGGTGCAAAGCTGGGCTTTGGCCCAGGGAGTGAAGGGGAGGGCGTGGGGTGAGGAGCAGGCCGAGCAAGAGCTGGGCTAGAGCAGGCTCAAAGGCCGAAGGAGGTGAGGGGAAGAGAGAATCCCTTTTTTTCTATTCAGATTTTTCAAAGCCATTTTTAAATTGATTTTGAATCCATTTGAATTTGTTTCAAAAACCAGACAATACAGAAAAACAATTGCAGCAGCATGTATGCATAAACATGTATCTAGCCTTATAGTTGATTTTAATTTAATAAAAAATATTATCTTCCCTATGTTTAAATGTGCACAAAAATGCATAATTAAGTCAATTTAATTCTATTTGAAGGGAAGCAAAATTTTGGGTGTTACAATACCCATAAATCTGTCATATTAGAGGAGATGGACTTTTTTTCATACTCCAGCAGTCCCCAGTAACTCTTCCTTTTATTGGTGACCAACAAAAAATCTCTATCTCCCCTCAAATAAAGGGGAGTTCCATCTCCTCCAATAGCATGGGTCCCGTAATAACTATCACTTGTCCATCCTCTCTGCTCACTACCCACACCGGAGCTCGCCGTGCGCCATGGCTGCAACTTGGCATGCATCCTCGCTGATGTCCCTGCTCAACAAGGACCCGAAGCGTAGGCAAGGGCCGCCTGCCGGCTCAGCAACGAGGCACGAGGGCCATTCCACACGGGTGCTAGCGGGCGGCGCTCCGATTCGAGGACGAGGCATGAGGACCAATCCGCACGGGCAGTTAGCGCTCCGACTCAACGACGAGGCACGAGGGCCGACGTTGGTGGCTTGGGGCGTCGGGGTCAGGGCCGTCGTGGAGGTGTCTTGCGTGGTAGGCGGAGGACGGGGTTGGGACTGGCGCGCAGCGGAGGTCGAGGTCAGTACTGGTGTCTTGGCGCGGTCGTCGAGTGCTATCTGATGTTGCCATGGAGAGAAAAAAGGAAAGGAAAAAAAGAAAACAAATAAACTGTGATCAGGTCCTATGTTTTGGGGTTGGGGGTGGGGGGAGATTATTGATGTTGGGCTATCTTCGTTATCAACTTATTAGAGGAGTTGGATTGGAGAGCTGTGGGAGATGCTATGACTAAATTAGATTTTTTTTTTTTGTTTAGGCCTTCGCAATATAAGATAATTAAGCTATGAACTTGGATGAATTTAACTGCTGGCCAGCATCATGGGTTTTACCTTTTGGGCTTGTAAATAAAAATCCAATCCGGATCCAAACGGCCCCTAAGGCGATTGAATGGTAGGATCATGGGAGCATCTGGCGGAGATTTTTGTCGTGCAAAACCCAATTCCGTGGCATGTGGCGGAGACTCGCCAGCACTGTTGCGATAAGCGTACATCTGGGGGCAATCTATCATACGGAGTAACTCCTACCGCTTGGAGTCTCCAGCTCCAGCTAGCCCCTGTTGCTCCACGGTCCATCAACCATCATTGCACTTGCCTCTCACACGACACGATCTCCACTACTAGCAGCTCCTGCAAACCACCTCGTTGGCCGTGCGCCGCGCATGCAGCCTCCCTAGGCGTGCATGCTTGTACACGTCGACGACGCATAGGTCGGCGCCATGTCATGTCATGGCCGCCGCCCCGTGCGCCCACCCCATCCACCCGATCGGCGACCGAGCCGCCCCTCCGTCTTCCCAATGTAGGATAGTAGGGCCTCGTTTAGATGGTAAGTTTTTTCATTTTTTCTTCATCACATTAAATCTTTAGATATATACATGGAATATTAAATGTAGATAAAAAAATAATTAATTATATAGTTTGATTGTAAATTACGAGACGAATCTTTTAAACCTAGTTAGATCACAATAATTTCAGTGATTCCTAACTTCAATCAACACGGGCTAGGAGATAGGAGTAGCGCCCCCCTCGGCGCCCAACTAGTACTATACTGGTACCAGGGGCAGTTGTACTACCACTAGTGGGAACACAAGAACGAGTGAGCGATCAGATCGGTGACCGCTGACCCGAGCCCGCTGAGCTCGCGCTGCAGGCTGCAGCTGACGGCTGTTTTGCCTATCCGCCGCATGCCATGGGGGTGCCTTCCTTCTACAAGTGGCTCGTGGGCAAGTACCCCAACATCGTCGTCCCCGCCAAGGAAGAAGACGAAGCTGGCGCCGGCACGTCGTCGCCGTCGTCGCGGGGGGACGAACAAGCCGCCGGACCCAATGGCGTCTACCACAACCTGTACCTGGACATGAACGGCATCATCCACCCCTGCTTCCACCCGGAGGACCAGGTATGTCGTCTCTAACACATGCATGTTACACAAACATCACATCATCCTGATGGATTTGATCGATTTCCTCAACTGAATCTCTTGACGCTCGAGCTGGTAAACGTGATGGATGGAATGCAACGCAGGTGTACCCGCCGAAGACGTTCGACGAGGTGTTCGCGGCCATGTTCGAGTACATCGACCGCCTCTTCCACGTCGTCAGGCCTACCAAGCTGCTCTACTTGGCAGTAGGTACGTGTACTCCTGTATACTAGTACATGTTTCATCTGTTTTTTTCCCCATCGTCTTTGTTGGCGTTTCATCGATACAATACAATGCATATGCGTGTCTTGTTTCAACTGCAGATGGTGTTGCTCCCCGCGCCAAAATGAACCAGCAGAGGTCCAGGCGCTTCAAGGCTGCCAAGGATGCTAAAGATGCGGTAAATAAACCCCTCGGCCCTCACCTCTCCGTCCTCTGGATTTGTTTGCTGCTATGATTTATTTGCAGGAACCGTATATATATGTACGACTATGCTATGATGATTTACAGGAACTGGAGGAGAAGATTCTGAGAGAGAAGTTCAGAGCTGAAGGGAGGGAGGTGCAACCGCGGGAGACGCATGAGGTTTCGGATCCCAACGTCATCACGCCGGGGACGGAGTTCATGGAGAAGCTTTCCAAAGCCCTCGAGTACTACATCCGGTCCCGGTTGAATAGTGACCCCGGGTGGAAAGGCATCAAGGTTTTAGTGGACACTGAGGGCCCTTGCCTCACTTTAATTTCCCATTTTGCATTGCTGCAGTAAATATCTAGATATTAATATTGACAGTTTAAAGATATTAGTTTCAGTGTGTAAAATGCGCCCGCTGTTTTGAAATAATGGTTACCGTTTGATTTTACTATTTGAAACTTGTCAACTAATAGTCAAATGAAAATGATATTTTTAGCATTGTCATAAAAGGATTTAATTTCAATTTCAACTTGTGTATTTACAGTTACAGGTGAAATATCAAAGTGAAGAGTGATAATTTTCTTTTAATCTGAGACATTCTGAATTTTTTTTTGAGTGGCTAGTTGATCACACATTTTGATCAAGATCCTGGGTTTCGTCAACATGATCATTGCTTAATAACCTTCATGATACTTGCGTTTTGAAGGTAATACTCTCTGATTCAAATGTACCTGGAGAAGGTGAACACAAGATCATGTCTTTCATCCGGGGACAACGGAGCCTGGAGAACTATGACCCAAACACAAGGCACTGCTTGTATGGACTGGTACGACGATGGAATAACTGAATATTAGAATATTCCCTTTCTACATTCCTGATCTTCTAATTGTTCCCTTTATTGTCTCTTTTACACACTGAATATCATTACAGGATGCGGACCTAATAATGCTCGCTTTGGCATCTCACGAACCTCACTTTTCAATTTTGCGTGTGGTCTGTTAATCCATCGTCGGTGTCAACTCCTGGCTTCATCCATACTATGATAGCTCTTGCCAAACCACATTTAGTTAATTGGATTTAGCAAGCAACGGTGTATTGAAGTTAAATGTAATTGCAGAATTTTGTAAATATTTAGTTGAGAATACTCCTTTTGTTAACTTGGACAGGATGCGTTACGTCCGACTCAGCCAGAAAATTGCATCCCTCTATCTAAAGAACTGTTTAAAACTGAAGATTCCTCAAGAAAATGTAGAGGATGGTTGCCCCGCATGACAGAAACAACTCCAAGTAGGGACATGTCTCCCAAGAAACCTTACCAGGTTTGTTCCTCAGAGATGATAGCAGGGTCTTTCCATTTTAATTTTTTATAACACCGTCGTCTTGCAGTTTTTGAACATATGGGTTCTGAGGGAGTACCTGGAGCTTGATTTGAAGATACCAAACCCGGTTGTCAAAACGGGTATCGAGAGGCTAATAGATGATTTCATATTTATCTGTTTCCTGACAGGAAATGACTTCATTCCACATATTCCTTCAGTTGAGATACATGAGGTGCACATGTGCCGTCTGGTTCTGACAGCTTAACAGCTAACAATATTGTTGTTGTCACATCCTTTCACATGTTTCCCACTGCAAAAAAGTGATTTTCCCCCTTATCTTCGATGTGGCAGGGTGCAATTGATCTGCTATTGGAAGTCTACAAACAAGCATTTAACAAAATGGGAGGCTATATTGTGAGCACAGAGAAGGTACATGCAGAATTGAACTGTTAATTTCATTAATAATTAGTTGTTGAGTTATGTTTGATGTACTTCTGCTGCTACCAAAAACAGTTAAAAGACAAACATGCTGCATATCTTAAAGTTTCGAGGTTGGAAAAGTTTTTTCATGAACTGTCCTTGTGTGAAGAGAAAATTTTTCTTAAAAGATATGAACTGCGAGAGGTATGTTATGAAACTTATAGTCCTTGGGCCAAAGTATACACTATTGCCAATTGGAACTTGTTGATTACATGCAGAGGTTACAGCGCAATTTAGTGCGCCGATCTGCAGAAGAATGGAAAGAAAGAAACTATGGCAATATGGTGAGGGCTACATACAGCTAAAAATTTTGTTCTGATTACTGTCATATTCATTTTTAATCTCAAGCTTTCTTTTACTCAAGAAGAAAATCCTGATGGTCCAGACTTGACAGTAAAGTCTTTTTCAACAAACTGCGGTACGTCCACCTGAATATATATTGATACGAAATCAACCGCCTCATTTTTAGGGAAAAACAAGGCAAAACCCTTTCGTCCAGTTAATTTTGGAAAACTGGACTAAAACCATACAACAACAGCCCAGTGCAAGGGCAAGATTGTGGCATATCCACTAATAATAAGAAAAAAGAAGAAGAACAACAACATGCCCCGGCATAAGGGCGAAAGGTGGCACGACCACAATACACGAGAAGAAGATAAAACTGCAACACCAAGGCACGGGGACTCTTCAACGATGCCTCCAAGGAGGTTAATGACGCAAGAGCGTAATCATCGTCAGCTAAGCAGGAGCTTAGCAAGGCTTTCGCCCGAATCTTTAACACAAATTCACTTCTTTAGAAAAAATCATATCTCAATGTTACCTCGATTCAGTAAAAAAACATCGCTTCCATTCACTTCACACAACATGAAAGGAATGCATATGTAACACAAATGACATGCTCTTCTGCACTCTTACCCTCCATAGGACACTGTAAGAGTGTGCATCGAGATCCTCCACAGGGACCTTTGTATGATGTTGTACGGTACTAGCAATCAGTGACATAACTTCAAATGCAAATGTTATGCCATGCAATGTGCATATGACATGCTTAGTTCAATGGTTAACTACTTCAACGACATATTGCAAAAGAATAAATCTTGCCCAAAACAATGTATAGCATAAGATTCAAATCTGCCAACAAATCACAAGTACCAACAAGCAGCCTCATCCATATATGACAGCCATGCTCACATTCACCAAATATTATAATCTGAACCTCACATCAAAGCGTAACTATAAACAAATGAATACCAAACAATAAATTTTGATTTGGATTTCTTAGATATAATTAATTAAGATCATTAGGTTATTCATCATATTTCTGATATTAAGATGTAGTTGTAGAAGTAAATAACATATTAAAACTGTAGCAAAGCCACATACATTTTCTTGCCTCAAAACAGTGATGCAAAAGGCACTAGGCACGATCCAGAGCAATACCACCTGTTTATTAACATAAACTCAGTTCAAACATTCACACAAACAAAAAAGGAATGTCACAAAAAGTGCTACTAGGCCCTAACCCATCATGCAAACCAAAACCACAAGCACTATGTTCGGTTGACAGCAGCAGTGCTGCCTGTTTTTTATGTATCTTTAAATCTACAAGAGCAATTGTAGTAGATAAATACAAATTCAGAAACTCCAAGACAAGGCCTACAACTTTCATGGAGACAACCTATTTTTATTCTGAAATTAAGCATGCCTAAACTTCTGTTGAATTCAGACAATGGAACCTGTCCTGAATTCGGACAGTCATTGGTAAAATATCGATATACACTAAACCACTTGTCCAACAATTATGAAAATTCACCATAAGGTACAAAACAGCACTATCTACAACTCTCATGTTACAACTTTTGGAGTTTAAAGACACTAAGGTACCTAAAACAAGCCCGCAAACTAACTGAACTTTTGTGATGATAAAACAACAGCAGTCAGATGAAATAATCATAACTGGAGTTCTACTAAACATATACCAACATGTTAAACACTGTTGGAAAGCTTATTAAAAACTCTACAGCTTTGGTATTCACTAGTAAAACTAGTTTGACATCGTACATGGCCAAAAACAGAATCGATTAGTTACTGTCCAGAATATCATCAGAACAGCAACAGTCGCACTAAGAAAAACATAACTCCTGAACCACACAGTCTAAAATCTTGAAATTTGACGAGCGTAAAGATTTTGAAGTTACGAACAACTTTTATATTCATAGGTATCGCAGATTTGTCCACTATGGCGCCCTAATGGGATGATAAACTGAAACAGTCTATTCTAAAAATTTCAGAACACAAGGGAACCAATTGCCTCAAAGGTTTGCACCAGCGTATCGCCTCCACTTGACTTTTCCCATGAACTAAATAGCCAAAAACATTGTATATACATGTTCTATAGCAGGGGTAAGAATTACCTTGGATTTCCCTAGGGGGGGGAAACAGTAGGGCAACGAGAAAAGATGACGATTCCCACAACCTCCGCCACTCTTACTAACGCAAATAACCTTGCTGATCTAGGTGCCAAAGCAAAGATAGTATCAGAGGATAAACATGATCTATAGGAGATGGTAGGGGCGTATACCCGCTGTGAACCAAAGAGCCTCCAGCTTGGTAGAGATAGGGCGGCGTCCTGCTCTTCACCTCTTCCTCTTGAGCTCCTCTCCCATGTTCTCCTCTCCGTTGGTATGTGTGGCAGCCAAAACAGAAGATGGAAGGGTGGCTGCTGTAGGCATGGGAGGCTTCATTCTCCAACTTTTGGCCTTCAATCTTCTTTGTATCTTCGTATCTTGGGACTTAGTCAGTTCTTGCCCTGCTTATTTTCTGTCTTTGAAATGTTAAGCGAAGTCAAATATTTGTCTTCGCTTGGCTTTTTCCTTCTTCTTTTCAGCGAAGACAGGCTCTCTCCAGCTAAGTCAAATTCCCTTTTGCGAAGTTTAAACTTTCATCTTCGCTATGCTTCTTTTCCTACAAGCAGACTTCGTTATGAAAATTATAGTTTCAACTTCAAAGTTTCAGGGGCTGAGTTTTTCTGGCGCGAAGTTAAATCCCCAACAACGATGGTGATGAAGTTCTTCATCATCACCCACAATTCGCCGCTGAAACATGAAACCCATGGTGAAAATTAATGGGTTAGGAACCGGCGATGGTAAGTATTCTATAGTAGTTAATTTGTGTTTTATGGAAGCAAGAGATGAGCTGCTAAAGAAGATGCTCCAAAAGAAAAAAGATGAATGAAGGACAATGGTCCAAGAAAGCTTCGAGCATCCAGGAGCTGAGGGACAAGTTAGCTAGCATATATATATCTCTTTACACGGAGGAAACCATCGAATCATCTGCTTTTATATTTATTCAAAGAAAACATTTGTTCCCACTATCTTCTTGAGGAAAACACATTGTATCTCCAACTATATATATAGATAGCTCCTTATTTGTAAGTTTTCCATATAACTTAAGACTTTATATCGGATTTATATTTTTGGAAGTTTTAATAAACATTCCATTATCAGGAAAATTAATTAAAATAGTTATTCTCTTGAAAAGTCTAAGTATTTAACACTTTGATAAACTATATAGTACAGACCCAAATAAAAGATATAGTTTGGTATGCCATCACTAATACCACAGCCCAGATTTAGCGTCGCGGGCGGCGTCGGGGTGGGGAACTGGAGCTGAGCGGGTAGACCGGGTAGAGATAAGGCGCAGTGTTGGTGGGCCGGAATGGTGGGCTAGAACGGCGGGCTGGGAATTTTTCTTTTGTGACAAGTGGGCTCGCATAAAAATTAAGCGGGAAGGGGCCAAATTATAGTGTGCAATTGTAGTCGTTTTACGGCGATGCCTGGTGGGTCGTTAAAAGTAAGATATAACGACCAACCATCCAACGTTAAAGTGAAATAGAATTAACGACCGACAGTATGTAGCCAAAATGAGATATAATCCAACATTCCATTAGAAATCTTTAACGTCCAACCTTCCAACGTTAAATTGGCATTTTTAACAACCCCCAAGTGACGTTAATTTTGGGCTGTGGTGTAGTGCGTAAACCTGGGTATATAGCCTTTCTCTATCGAGAAGCTTTCTCATTCTTCACACATATGGTATTTGCGTATATACGTCTGCACGGGCTTCTCCAAGACTCCAATAGTGCCACTTTCTACTTCCCAGTAGATATAACACATCCATACTCTTATTACAAGACAGTATAGTACAACGTATCCTCTTGTCTCAAAGCTTGAAATTAAGCGTAGTGAGTGGAAATATTACAATAACAGCTAGCTACAGTTTTGAATAGCTGAATAATGTTGTGTAACGTATTCGCTTGACACCATTCAGAGGGATTAGCTACTTGTGTATATATATATATATATACCTATATCATTGTAAATACAAATCGAATAAAGCTGCAAACAATAAAGTACGTGCCCCCGCTCTCTCTTTATTCAAATTATGCTTTACTGCTTTATGGTGAGGCCTGATGAGCTGCTGAAGCAAACGTTCCAAAAAAGATGTAGATAAAGGATCTGCATGGAGTCATGGACACGATCAGCATCGTGCATTCAACAAGTTGCTGAGGCAACAAGTTAGATAGGCATATATGGCGCCTTAATTTGGCGGAAACAATCGAATCGATTTCTTTAGTAGTTATTTGATGAAATGATTTGTTTCCTACCATTTTTTTTGTTAAGAGGAAAGCATTAGTTAGAGAATCTCCAACAACCAAAAATGAGAAAAATACACAAAAATGTAGAAAAATACCAAAACATTTTAATTAAAGTCTAAACGTGTTTTAAAAACTTTAGGCTGCAAAAATATGAGATGCAACCAGCATGAATGCAATATATGTTAATGTCAAATGCATTCAAGCTTGTTATGTCTAATGTTTTTTGTCGTGTGAAGTTTTCAAAATACATTTATACATCAAATGGAATGTTTTGTGAATTTTACTTATTTTTTGGGATATTTTTTCATTTTTCCTAGAGCTAAATCTAACTTTGGAAGCTTCTAAAGATATTTTCACGAGCCTTAAATATTTTATTTGAATTTGTTCTGTCCCAATACATCTCTAGGTATATTTTTTTGGAATTTTTTGAAATTTAAAGACATTTTCTGTGGTTCAATAGTCTTACCAAGTATTTACTATATTTTTTAACTAGAAAAAACAAAATTGCTTTCAAAACAGGACAGGGAGGTAATTTGAACGGTTTGAGAGTTCAAAGGTAAGACTTCTAGTTTTGGAGTTTGTGAGGAAAATCAAACTACATAGATGAGGGGTAAAATAGACCTTTTTCTTAAAAAATATGACAATGTGCACCTGAAATTCACTACTACTAATAAATCTTTTTCAAGGCATTGCCAAATGGCCTCAAAGGCGGGAGGGCAGGTTGCCCGCCTCCGTTATTGGGTGGCGGACAGCCAGCCGAGCAACCGCCTCGATTAATAACTAAAGCGGGCAACCTAAAGGCCCTCCTCGGTTAATATATATTAACGAGGCGGGCATCCTAACTTATAATTGCCCGGTAAATCATTAACCCGGTGGGCATTCTAACTCAACCGCCTCGAAGAATTAGGCCCAACCCGCTAGCCCACGCATGACCCACTAATATCACCAATATATATAACGCAGGGGTTAGGGTTTTCACTCCTCACTTCTATCTCCCCATCCCGTGAAGTTGAGGCGGCGCCGCGCCCCTCGCAGGGGGGAGAGCCCGATGGCACCCTCACTCTCTCCCTCACACTCTCCCTCCCGAGCCTCTCTCCCTCCATACTCCGACGGCAGCACAGGCGGCTCCCTCTCCGACGTGGAGGCAAGGAGGACCACTGGCGCGCCTCCCTCTCCCTCAAGCGGCGCGGCCTCCTCTCTCTCCTCCGAGTGAGAGAGAAGCGTGGCGGTGCAAATCCAGAGGATTCCTCTTCTCCCTCCCCACCGTGGATCTGCTGGTGGCATGCGCGGGGCAGCGGATCGGGCATGCAGGGGGGCGGCGCGAGGCCCAGA